GCTGGTGGGGACTCTCGGTGGCTGTATTTACTGTCCAGGGAGGAGCCCAAGGAAATTAGGAGATTTGGGCAGGGAGTGGAAGGGGTTCAATTTTTCCTCACACAGTCCCTGAGATTGCGCCGTGGGGAACGCATCGCCGCGGAGAGTTTAGAACTGTAGATTTGTCCAGAACGGATGGACGGGATGAGGTGCGCTGGAGATTTCTGGGGTGTGCTGGAGACCCTCCCGTGCAAAGCACCGTCCCGAATATCGTCGTTTATTCACTGTCTGTCCTCGAGCCTGGACTCAGTTCCTTGTTGCAGCGGCTAATAGCATCGGGCTCGCAGTATGCGCTCAATTAATTGTTATAGAAACGAACGATTAAACTTTCTGAAAATCTTATTCTCTTTTCAGTTGGTGTGATTCCTGGCCAAATAAGCAAATCAAATCCCAAGTTCTGGGAAGGGGCTCCTCGGAGGACCGCGTGTCCAGCCGGGGACTCTCTGTAGCGCACCGCCCTGGCCTCCCTGGTGATAGGGGCTCGGGGTGGGCGCCCGGCCAGCGCGCCCCGCGTGTAGCGGACAGAGCGCTGAGGATATTGGTGCCCGGGTCGCCGGGGCTTGGGGCTCGCATCTGCTCCACAGAGGGAGCCAGAAGCGGGCGGTGGGGGCTGTGGTTTGGGACTGAGCTTGCTCCCCGCTTCCTGACTTCGCAAAAGGATGGCTAATGGGGGAGCTGCCCGCAATATCAAAGGCCTCCCTTTTCCCATTTGGAAAACAGAGACAGCGTCAGTATGTCTTTGGGAGGCACAGCGTTCAGAAGAGAAACAAATGGAATAAACTAAGAAATGCCTTAGCCTTGTGCCTGGCACATAGCGAGCCCTGAAAAAAATGTTTTTAATCATCTGTCATTCATCTACGTTTCTATCTGTTCATCACCTATGCATGTTACATCTATTTTTTTAATCTGTCCACTTATGCATATATCTATCCCCCTGGTTCTAGGGAGATACCACAGACAGTCCTAGGGCTTATACATAGTGAAAACAAATCTCAGGGCTTTTCCCGCCGGTCGGCCCTAGGCGTCCTCTGCAAAGGATCCATCACCATTTCAGCCGTCGTGGGGACCTGTATTCCCCGGCTCCTCTTAGGCTCTCACGGCCCTGCGCCTTCCATTTTAGTCGCTAGAGGGCAGTGGTCTCCTGAGTAGAAGCGCAGGGATGGGGGATTGGGGCACCTCCAATGCCGGCTGGTCTCAACCGGTCTGCTGTGGACCCTGAATCCGGGTGACCCAGGAGCGGCACCGCTCACCCCTACTTTCTGGCGGGGGCAGCCTTGGAGCTGGGACGCGTAACCTGAGCTTTGGCGGGAAGTGGGGTGGGGTGGAGCGAGGCCGGGAGGGGTGGGCCGGCGTGGGAGGGGAGGAGGAGAATGCCCTAAGGAACCGATTTTGCCCTCTTAACAGAAAAGCACAAATGTTTTCCCTTAGTTCTTTTGGACTTTTCCCATCAGAGGGATGATAGTGTCTTCTCCGGCTCCTAACTCACACCCCTCGCTCCCACTCTCCCCAGGGTAAAAGAGAGCTCCTGTCCTTACTTCAGAGCTTTCTCTTCTTGCCCAGGCTTTGTGCTGTGCAAATGAGTGCATGGAAAACATCCTGTCTGCAATTAAAGACAACTTGCTAGATCTGAGAATTAAAAACACACACTGAGGGGCAGGAGGCTGAGAGGTGTGTGTGGAATGACTGTGCCACGTGATTCTTCCTTGGGGTTCCTAGTATTGGTCATGGTAAGCCTTTTTAGGATCATAGGAAAGAAGGAGCTTAACTCTCCAAGGGGGAAGTAAGGATAGCTTGTCCCAAACCCTCGTTCTATAGATGGGAGACACTGAGGTGCAGTCTGTCCAAGTGACCAACCCGAGGCATGGTAAGCCAGAGTCCTCAGCCTCTCTAGAGAGAGGTGCTTCCTTGTGTCTACTTCAGGCCAACTTTATTTCTGTTGGAATAATTAACGTCTGATTTGAGTTACTGCTGTTTTCTCTCAGGAACCTTAAATGTCGGGGAAAAAGAGAATATGAAAAGACACTCTGTAGGAAAAGTGTATGGGTACTTAGACCCCGGTACCTGTTAGATTCTTGAGACGCATTTGGCGCTCAAAAGTGTGTGACCTTGTTTGCATAGCTCAAATCAGTAACAGTCTCTCCTTCAAATAAAGCTAAAAGTCATACATTTTTGTACTCATTTTTAAATATTTGAATTAGTGGCAACGTCAAAGACCTCCTTTTTCCCATATGGAAAACAGGGACAGGGTGGTATACCTTTTGGGAGGAAAAGCATTCACAAGAGATGCAAATGGAATAATGAACAAAAGGAATCCATTTTTATTGATCTTTTAAATATTCATCAATATCTAGTAGATTTTGACACATTCTGGGCAAAAGATGATTCAGAAATCTGTCTCAAAACAAGGGAGGGGAATCCATCTTGAACCATTTGATCCAGAGGTTTCTGATTTTCAGGTCAAGATCAAGGTCTTATTCTCTTCTGTTCCTAGACTGCCATGAATTAGCTCACAGGGATTCAGCCCAGAGACCATGGGCTATGACTTCAAAAGCCCTGATGATGAGTGGTGTTTAACTTAGGTCTTAGGTGTTCCAAAAAAGGAAGGATTTTAAAAAGTGCTCTAAATGTCATCTTCCATCATGTCTACAATAGACATGTCTTTCAAGTACCCATTCATCTTCTCCCTTCCCCTCCCAGCCGCCCAAACATATTTTATTACAGGGAACTATTTCTTTATGCCCCTCTCTCTCTAAAGGAGCAGTTTTGGAAGGAAGTACCTCTGTATGCTGCTGATTGCATAATGTTTCAGCATAAAAGCACCATGTTCTAACGTTTCAGATGTTTGGAGTAATGACAGAGGCAGGGAAACCTTGCCTGTTTTCGGTTACAATCTAAAGCTCACGCTAGGCAAAATGTGAGTCAGTGAGCTGGGCGTGTTACTGTGAGCATCACTGATAAGAGATTCTTTTCAGATGGGTTCAGAACACCATAGCAGAACAGCTGGAAGTGGAGTCAGTTTGCAGATGATACTTATTTTTATGGTTTGATAAATTCTTATTTTAAAGAAAGTATGTGATTTTCTGTTTTCAAAATCCAGGTAATAGCAGAAAAGCCTTGAAAGAAAAAGTATAAAAGGTGTGTGTGAGTGTGTGGGGAGATAGAATTAATCTGACTATCAAACATACTGTTTCATACTATAAACTTGAGGGAAACTTTCTAAATCTGGCCTTCAGTTCTCAGACAGTGAAAAGATAAATTTTAGTATTAAGCATATTAAATGAAACAATGAATAAAACAAGTCATGACTCATCACATTAAATGAAAACAGCTGTGAATGCAACTGATAAATGGTTTCTTGAGCAGCTTGATTTTTATTTTTATTTTTTATTTTAAATTGAGTTTATTGGTACATTCTAGATATACAGTACAGTTACATTCATTACTGGGATCTTGTACCTTTACACGCCAGGTCTTGGTTCTCATTTTTCCCCCTTGTCCCTACCCTCCCTTCACCCCCTCACCCCCTCTTTACCTTCAAACACTTTAATTCCATTTTTTCATTTTCTCATATTTTTGTCCTTTTCCCTTATTCCCTTTTCCCTATCCTTCTCACTGTCCCTACACCTTTGGTCCTTTTCTTCCTATTTCATGTTGCTAATTGTCCCGTTAGGATCTTGAATACTATTTTAGTTTTTTACAGGAGAGAAACAATTTGGTATTTGCATATGTGTGACTTACTTATTTCACTTAGGAGTATATCCTCAAAATGTACCCATTTACCTATGAATGAATCTACTTTCTCATTCTTTGTGTCTGAGTAGTATTCCATTTTATAGAAAAACCACATCTTCTTTATCCAGTTTCCAATTGATGGGAAGATGGGCTGTTTCCAAGTTTTACCTATTACAAACTGTGCCGCTAAAAACATGGGTGTGCATATATCACTGCAGTATGATTCTTTTAATTCCTTTGGAAAGATACCCAACAGAGGGATGGCTGAGTCAAATGGAACCTCTAATCCTAGTTCTTTGAGGTATCTCCATATTGACTTCCATAGTGGTTTCACCAGTCTGCACTCCCACCAACAATGGAGAAGGGTTCCTTTCTCCCCACAACCCCACCAATATTTGGTGTGTGATTTCTTGATAGCAGCCATTCTTTGTGGGGTGAGGTGGAATCTCAGTGTTGTTTTCATCTGCATCTCTTGAATGTCCAATGATGTGGAGCATTTTTTCATATATTTACTTGCTGCTTTTATTTCTTTGCCTGAGAAATAACTGTTCATTTCAGATGTCCCTTTTAGAATTGCGGGGGGGCGCTGGTTGTTTTGAGTTCTTTATATATTTTAGATTATAGTCCTTTGTCTGAGGAGCAGTTGGTAAAAAGTTTTTCCCACATTGTAGGTTGTCTCTTAGTTCTGTTTATGGTTTCTTTTGTAGTGCAGAAGCTTTTTAATAAGGTGAGACCCCAGTTGTTGATTCTTTGTGCTAGTTCCCGTGCTACTGAGGATTTGTTCATAAAGTCTTTTCCTATGCCAATGTCTTCCAGAGTTCTGTCTAAGTTATCTTCCAGCAAGTTTACTGTTTTTGTTTTTATATTTAGATCTTTAATCCACTTGGATTTTAATTTACTGCATGGTGACAGATAAGGGTCTAGTTTTAATCTTTTGTATGTTGAGATCCAGTTTTTCCAAGACCATTTATTAAAGAGGCTTTTTTTCCTCCAGTGGTTACTGTCAGCTACTTTGTGAAAGATGAGGTAGCTGAGTGCCTCTGGAGTTGTATTAATGTATTCCAATCTGTTCCACTGATCCTCAGGTCTGTTTCTTTGCCAGTACCATGCTATTTTTATCACAGTGGCTTTGTAGTATAATTTCAAATTGGGAATTGCTATACCCGCTGCCATGTGTCTATTCCCTAGGATGGCTTTTGCTATTCTAAGTCTCTTATGGTTCCATATGCTTTCTGGTCATTCATATCTTTTGTGATATGTCTGTTCAAATATTTCCCCCATTTTTATTTGGTTATTGATTTTCATGAATGAACTGTAAGATTTCTTTATATATTCTGGCTTCAATATAA